AAAAAAAAAAAAAAAAAAACAACAACCCAGAACAAGTCTTCAAACCTCTTCCACTAACACTAAATCCACAAGGCTATTAACTTCAGGATGGCCATAACTACACACACTCTTATTTGAGAGGTGCCTATCCAAACAACAAAAAGATATTTTGCTTCCTCCGCTACCTTCTTCCCTCAGACCCCCCTTCACTTCCCCCCCCCCCAAAAAAAAATCTATGTTCCCTCTTGTTCAGGAAACATGAAGCTAGAGACAGCAAGAAGTGGCACAGTGGATCGGCATTCCCCTCTACGTGCGGTTCAGCGTCTGGAAGATTCGAGAGATCTGTAGCATGACAGGTCCCGTCTCTGGATCGTTCATCCACTGAGTGCTGTTTAAGGGGTTTTCAAGCATATCTTCAAAGGCTGCCGAGAAAAGGAGGTGGCAAAACTCAGTTCATGATGTTTTATTGGGCAAATATTGAGCATTTTGGATGTTTTACAAAATAAAAGGTTAGTTTAAATTGCAGTAGAAATCACGACTTGCTTTGATCACCACAACTCGGTCAGGACAGATCTTGGGACGCCAGAGCCACCCACACAGAGGCCTTCTCCCCACCCCAAGCTCCCTGGCCACACAACTGCACTGGAGCAGCACTGCCAGCGACTCCTCCTGGCTGTGGCTATTGGGGGGACGAGAAGGAGATAACACAGCTGGCTTTTGTACTATGTTCTACCTAGGTACTCCTATGGTGCCCATCACCACAGTACCTCAATGCCTCCAGCAATGAGTTTACTCTCCCAACGCCCCTGTGAGGTAAAGCATTATCCCCATTTTACAGGTGGGGAAACTAAGGCACAGAGGTGTGCCCCTAGGTCGCACAGGGAGCCCATGGCAGAGCCAGGAAGTGAACTATAATCTCTTGAGTCCCAGTCAAGCGCCTTGGCCACAAGACGATCCTTCTTTCCTGGAAAAGTTCTCTAGGGCTAAAGGGGGAATAATGTGTTATCCCACCAGCCAGCAAGCTCCTTCCTCCACCAGCCTAATCGCTGCCCTCTCACCTTGGACTGGAGTCAAGGGCATGCATGCTGCCATGGAAACAGTAGACCCCAACTTCCATGGTGTGTGCTGGGGGAAGGGTCCCCTCCATTTGTAGATTTTGGAAGGATGACCTAGGCCCAAATGACTAAAAATAGTTCTCTTTACCTGTGTCAAACAACCCCTCTATCCCAAGATTATGCCACTTATTACTTTTGACTGTTTATTTTAACTTATTTTGCATTTCACTTAGCTTGGATGATGCACAGACAAGTCAGTGCCACTTTGTAGTTCTCATGCACTAACACATTGCTGCAAGATTTGGGTTGCAAAAACGGCAAGAAACAAGAACATTCGATCCAATAGTTTACAGATGCTTGGGACATGGGTCCGACAGACATCTAGCTTCCCACTGAGTTAGAATGCTGAAGTTTGGAACTCACTCATGGGCCACACACACACGTCTGACCTTTTCAGAAGTCACCTAAAGGTCAGTGTAACAATTTACATAACAGAGTCTGGCAAACTCTGGCATAGAAGTTAATGGTCCAATTTTCCAAAGGTGATAAGCACCCACAGCTCCCAATAAAGTCAACAAGAGCTGTAGGTACTCAACACCTCTGAATGCCAGACTATAAATACTTTGCTAAGGTCACAAAGCAGGTCTCTGGCAGAACTGAGAATAAAATATAGCTCTCATGCTTCGACCACTAGACCATGCTTCCTCCTCTTTTGGGGAGAAGCAAGAGATTAAAAATATATTGAACTAAAGAAGGACTTTTGATCTTTTTTCATAACTAGGTATTTTCTAATTCAATGCAAATATTCATGTTAAAATGCATGACACTGGCAATAAGCCGAGGTATCATTAGCTACAGTACGTGCTCGATGCTCATCCAAGCTTTATACATGTGTACAATGACATTTCATTTTCTATTTTTATATCCTGCGGTGCAGCATGGAACCCTCCCTCTGAAACGAAGATGCCACTTGTTTAGAAATCAGGGTGGGCAGGTTCTGCTCCTGCATTATTTAAAAGCCATGAAACTTCACAGTAAACGTAAGTGTTCAAAAGATCCACTGCAAAGGTATTCATATGCAATCTATGTTTTAAAACATGCCTTTAAATAAGTCTAGGTAAAACTGAGGCCAAAGATTAAGCATGTTCATATATTGCAGAAAGGCCAAATATCTCCCTACTAAATATCTCCCTGCGCGGAGTTTCCTCAGAGCAACCCATCAACCACAGATTTACATTTCAGTCTCTTTTGGGTTCATTAGTGATGTGGCTTTCCCAGCCACAGATGCCTTTTGACCGAGCTAACACAGATGCTCTACAGCGCAAACCTCCAAAAAGGGTGAAGCATGTGTCCATAGCTGTTATTTCAGCCTTGGCAGGACACACACACAAGTCCTTAGCTGGCAGCTTTCAGTTCAGTTAAACTCAGCCAACCACTGCCCTCTGAGTAATGAGCAGACTTCAATCTACAGTGAGCTGTACTACAGCATGCATTCTCTTCCACACTTTTTGCAGCTAAGGACCCCAGGATACCAAGCAGAGATCTACATTTTCCCTGCCAAACTCTGGCCACGTTGGGTGCGCCGAGTCTCCTAGATCCACATGATTACTCTAGCCAGCAGCCATGACATTCTAGATGGTGGCAGGTTGAAATCAGAGATTCAGTGTCATATCTGACAGCCCCAGGATTGTTCCCAAGCCCCTGTTGCCCACATGGCATCAGCACTACAAAGCAAGCTGTCAGGCTGCACCCTCCCCCATCTATTCACTTAGCTTTATTTAAATAGAGTATTTTCTGATTGTCAGCAACTGTGGAAGCAATGCTTCTTTGTCAGAAGCCAGGACAGTACTTACCTAACAGCGTTTTAGGGTTCGTTAGCCCTAACTGTACCACTGGGTTTTCTAGGATGGCTTGAAAGAGAGGGCTAGTGGTGTCAATTCCCTTATCTAAATCCTCTGGAGATGGCTTTCTGTCTCCCAGCAGCCATTCACACTGTAAAAGTCAGCAGGCATGACAAGTTTATAATTAGTTCCATTAAAACGCAAGCTCGGGAGACTTCAATCCCGCATGTAAATAAGGCACAAGATAGAACATCCTAGACAAAGTTTATCATCCCTGCATGCAATTTGCAAGAGTAAACCATGTATCTATTAACACATTAACTGCTATTCCTATCTCCTAGAACTGGAAGGGACCTTGAAAGGTCATTGAGTCCAGCCCCCTGCCTTCACTAGCTGGACCAAGTACTAATTTTGCCCCAGATCCCTAAGTGGCCCCCTCAAGGATTGAACTCACAACCCTGGGTTTAGCAGGCCAATGCTCAAACCACTGAGCTATCCCTCCCCCCTAAGGTCCTATTCACTTAGGTCCTGCTCCAAGTCAACTGCAAGGCTCCCATTACTCCAGCAGGAGCTGGACTAGAGCCTGATACAGCAGTAAAAGTGATTTCTGGCTTTCAAACCCACATGAGGTGACATTCTGTAGATCACATTGGAAATCTACAGCTTGTTCCAGGACGTCATCCTCCTACACCAGAACCCTCCAGGATTCTCAAATCCAAAGCTGGAGGGCAGGCTCACTGAGCTAACTGTCAGGAGCACATCTCAAAATCCCAGCGTGGTCAACTCAGCCCTTTTTCCTTCAGTATTCCTCTATGTGCGCGCACATGTGTGTGTCCGGGGGGGGAGGGGGAGGAGGGAGAAATGTTCCTTCAGATGAGAACCTCAAACACCAATTCCCATGTCCCTGGCCAAAGTTCTCCATCTCAACATTTCCACTCCGCAAGCAGTTCTCTCAACACTGTGCAGGATGCTGGCTGACTGCCACTCTCCAGCCCAGAAGTGACTGCTTTCCAGTGGTGTAGGTAGTTAGTTTCAAAGATGCACAATATTTAATCATGTTTGCTTCAACTCCAATAACTGCTAGGACTGGAATATGAAGAGCAAGGCCGTGTAAAATGGGGCTATTTTGAATTAAAAATATGACCAAGCACCATGCGGTTCAGCGATCAAGAATTCTCAACTGAGCAAATGATCATCCTAGCAATTAGGAATGAAAATAACAGGATACTCACAGCTCCGTTTTGCTGGTTGTTGTTTACTCTGAGTGCATCTATCACTTCTTTTTCATCAAAGCCCATCTCCATCAAGGCAATGACAGCCTAAATCAGAAACACACAGCTTATCACACGCAGCATTTAGCTTGGCCCATGGTAGCTACAACACACACAAGGAATGAATCGTATCCCTTCTCCTTCTGTAGAAAAGCTCTTCCTTCTCCACATACAGCAAAAGAGCAGAAGGCGATGGTCCCGGTTTTAAGCATCCCAACTGGCTTTATTAAGTCAGATTCTCCTCACTAGAGGAGCCAATGGGATTTTCTGTGTGACAGAGGACAATATAGCAGAATATATTCCCTTTTGACTATTTTATTTCCTAAAAAGCTTTTATTGAGTGCAAACTGTTGGCAAGCAAAGATTCAAGAGATTTTAAAGGTCTACCATCTGGCTACAAGTGGCCTGTTTCCAATCCAATGGCACAACCAGGCCCTGATCCATGACTGGAGTCCTTAGACACTACTGTAATAAAAGTGAATAATAATAAAATAGCAGCAGCCAAATCCTGCTTCTATTGAAATAAAGGTCAAAAATCCCACTTATGTCACCAGGAGCAGGATTTGGCTCTAAAAAGGCAGGATGGGATGGGAAGCAGGAACTCCCATGTCTAACACACATTCCTTCTGTGACCATGAGCAATTCACTCATCTCCATTGCCTGTTTTCCCTCCCCCCATCAGTAAGAGCACTCAGACCTACCTATCTCACTAGTGCATCGTGAGGAAAAATGTTTGCAGAGCTGTTTGAAGATTAAGAGTACTAAGTATTACTGCACTGTTCCAATGCTCAGGTGAAAGAGAAATGATTGAATGATCCCTCGTTATAATATTGTTCCACGCCAATATCCTTGGGACTCAGAGGGGGAAGAGATTCCTCTCACTAGAAGCCTCTCTCTTTGCTGGTAATCTGGCAGCAGTCTCCACCCTTGCACCTACTACTTACACGGAACTTCTGGACAAACACAGCAGCACCAATGTAAAATTATATATAAGGAAATGCAGCCCCCAGCATGCAAGAGGTGAACTTCCCCATACCTAGCTCCTACAAATCAAACAAGCACTGGAAGAACTAGTTATTTTCCCTTTCTTGCTCTTCTCTGGTCACACACCTTAGCTGCTTGTATCAGGACGTGTTAATATCAGAATGCCTTCTTTTTAAATGAGGTTTTCACAGCGTTAGGAGTTCAGTTATAGTACATGTGCCATTTGCAGGCTGTGGCACTAATTTTAGATTGGGCAATGTGACATTTAGGGGAGGGTTGTGATGGGTCAGAAGCCAGGCTAGAGAGTCTCTTAAGAAGTAGGTTAAAGTCTAAACCACATGTCAAATGGAAGAGTTTGCTTTAACTCTCACATCCAGTTTTGAAAGTAACTTGTTTTGTACTGAAGGACAGAAGTTACTTGCTTTGAATCAACTTACTTCCATTTTCCCTTTACCACAATGCATTTGCAGGGTTAGATTTTGCTCTCAGTTACACAGGGTCAAATCAGGTTGACTTCAGTGAGTTCCAGCTATGTAACTAAGCAGCATTTGGTTGTAGCCCACGGTTTCCTTCAGGTTCAACACAAGCCTTGGAATAAGGACAAGGAAGGCTGCTGTCTGCATCAGTCATTTCTAATATCCCATCGTACTCCTCTTCAGATATTTTGGTTTTCATTTCTGTATCTAGAGATGGGATAGTTTTATTCCTGTTTCCTATATGTATGCAACTCAGAAAAGTAGAAAGGTACGTATATCTATTGGCAACAGTTATCTTAGGAAACCCAGCCACCATCTAGTCTGCCCTAGGCAAAAGGAACCCAGGATTCTATCCTAAGGATAAAAACCTGGATCCACCCAGGGAAAAACTCCCATTAACTTCAGTGAGGCCAGGATTTCACTCCTGTGGTTAAAGGCTTCCTTTACTAACTGTTCTTACAAAGCCAAATACTCCAGATGTTATGGTGCTACACAAATAATGATTCCTAAACACTGATCTGGAACTAGTCCACTTTCCATCACTACATTATTTCATTGCAATGTAGGCAAATTGAGATTTCATATACAGGTGACCTTCCTCATGCACAGAAAGAAAATTTACAAACAGACAAATTGGAACCAGGTTATTTAGTGACTGGGACATTAAATGGTGGGCACAGTTGAAATATAGGCTGGCAAGACGACAAGTGTATTTAGCTTGTTCTTTTTAAGAAGGTTAATTGCCTGTAATAGTCATGATTTAGATTAGACTACTAAACGGCAGAATGAAAAAGGTAAGAAATGAGCAGGCAGAATCTGAAATGTGTCGTGAAATATGAGAGAGGAGGCAAGCCCCAAGGGAACAACTGCAGATTTAAAGGGAAGCAGAAAGGAGAGTTTGTAAGCCAAATTCTGTTCTTAACTACACTGGTGAAAATCTAGAGTTCACTGAAGTAGATCTGAATTTCCACTGGTGCAACAGAAATGCAGCCATGCAAGTCATGAGAACACAGCCAGGATGTGGTATGGAGCCAGATAACTGGGATGCTGGGGATGGGAGACAGGATTTTAAAACTTGCACTTCATGCTCCATATCCAAGGCTTGTGGTTTTCTGGCAATAAAACACATGCTGTCACGTGCATTTGCGAGTTCTAGTAATTAGATTTAGTTCTGGTGTGCATTAAATATTTAGAACTGTGTATCTGAATATTTTAAAAGGTCTTTTTCAGACGTAAGTAATTTTACTCATGTCTTAACATTAGCTATTAAGTTGTTGATGGATCTTGTCAAAGTCTCAGGAAACCTTTAGTGGTAAAAGCAGATCTATCTTGAATTCTAAACAGCACCTCCTGGTGAGTTTAAGGGGAAAATAATCACACAAGTTGTTCTGAACAGGGATAAATTTTCTATGCATGATATTTATAATAGTTCAGATAAACAACTTGGAGATGTTTCACAGTCACTTCTGCAAACTCTTCAAGATTCAGCTTAAATGCTCTTTTGTTCCCTTCTACAGTAAGAGTCCTCAGGGCACCATAATTAATATCCTATGGTGCTTCTTCACCAATACACACAACTACATTATTTCCTTGGCTTTAGTAGTGGGAGCAAATCATGATTACAAACAGCTACGTCAAGAGATTAGCCCCAACACTGGGGCAGACCTAACAACACTGGTAATTTAGATGCACCCATGTTAGAGACTGTAGCATATAGGTACTGGGCGGTATCCTTTTAAATATTTTAAGAGTCCTCTAATGGTCCTCAATATCTTCTGTGTTTAAAAGCCTCCAGAACCCTCCCAGAGCAGCAGTGTATATAGGTATCCAGACCTGACATGTTGCATATCGTTAATAAACGTGGTTATTTGGAGTCCACTGTGTCCCCGTGGTTTCCTTCATATTACATTTGTTGGGTAAAGAGTAAAAGACAGACAAGACATACTCGTGGGTCAGGACGAAATTCTCTTTTCCTGCGGATCTTCTTGAATATTTCCGTCAGCTCATCCTTGGGCTCTTCCCCACCAGCTTCCAAACTAGGACCAGCAATTGCTCCAGCAGAGGAAGCACCCACTTCAGAGGCAGCTTCTAATGAGGTCTGACCTGGAAGCGGTGCATCAACCGTGGGGTCATCTGCGTGTTCTATCAACCACTCCATGGCCTGCGTCACTGACATACTGAGACACAAAGTTAACGGAAACCATTATGGGGAGTCAGCAAAGCTCAACGGGTATGTTCAACTCTGCAGGTCAGAGCGAGCCTCCGAGCCCAGCTAGACAGACTCCAACTAGCTTCACAGTGTGGACACTGTGGCTCCAGCAGAGACACTGGCTAGCCACCTGAGCTCAGACCAGGGGATCAGTTGGGCTTGAGAGCCCGAGCAGCAACGTCTACACTCAAGCCAATGGAGTCTGGGAGGCTTACTCCCAAGCTGCAGGGGAGACAGACTCAGTGAGTAAATCATCATCCCACACAGATCTGGCTTTTGTTCCTAGGACTTTCAGAATCACTAGCTAGTTTGTATCAGGATGTTCCTGAAATACCACGGACACCACAAAACTGATTTCTCCTGAGCTAATAGTGAAAGGAGAGGTGAGGTGAGGTGGAGATAGAGGAAAGCCAGGGTTCAAGATGAGCTGAAGCCGCAATCTAGCATTTTTAAACATGCTTTTGCTTCCATTTCAAACACAGAAAGTCACTCTTCCCCTTACAGGTCAGAAGAAACTCTCGCTTTGCAATTAACAATGTGATGTCTGCCCAAGTCTCCACAGAACCTGAAACCATAGCCCAGAGAGGTGAACTGCCCCGTTCATTTCTATGGAGTATTAAGTCCAATACCCAGTGACTATCATTTAAAATGTCAACACTGGGAACTGTTTTACTGTCAATCAACGCATGCAAATAAGGAGAGGAGCAAGCACATCACACACAATTTACCGTGAGTGACAGCTCATTTTGGGACCAGGAGTGGATGGTGCTTGGGTGAGCATGACCCCTTCTTTCCCCCACACTTATCCCTGGAGCCCAAAAGAGCATCTGAGCCCCACCAAGCAGAGCCTATGAGCATTTGAACTCCACTGAAAAGGAGCCAAGCCCAAGGAGATCACTGTGATCATATTTTGAACCTCTGCATAATCTGCTGTGTCTTATATCATTTTGGTATCTGAAGTAGGGGAAGCTTGGGATAGTACCAGCATATCACTCCCCCATTTGTGCCCTGGGGAAAGCAGAGAAAGGAAAAATCCAGAGATGGGATTGGCACAGTCACACAAGTAATTTTATAACCTAAGAAGAAAGGAACAGCCCTGGATATCACTGTTTGGATGTGGGGACAGAAATGAATAATTTAAAATGGCTTTAGAAGTCAGCATGAAATGTTTCTTCTGCAGTTTAAGGATTGGGTCTGTTTTTTTCTTTCTTTTTTTAAACTGAGTGTGAATTTAATACTCATGAATGATGCCAAATACAGAGACCCCCATTTATTCTCAGAACAAGTCCAGCACAGTCAGTAGCAGAGTAAGGTTCTCTCACTTGACACCCACTCCCCACCCATATGGGCTTATACCCTGAGCAGGGTTGTTCCCTGTGCTAGTGCTTTGCCCCGTCTTGGATTAGGTGTCCCAAGAGGGGGTTTACAGCAAATGCATTATTATCCAAATAATAATATGCACCAGTTATCTCAGTAATTAGCAATCCTGTACGCTGAGTGCTGCGTATACTCACTGGTTTAACCGAAGGGCTTTGACAGCTCGGCTCTCTGGAAACCCCATTTCTGTAAGCTGGCGCAGGGCTATTTCATCCACTCTGTCTTCCTCATCCTCATCCAACATGGCTACAGACAAAACACAGATTCAGGTTAGGATTTCAAGCCAAAATAAGTCCCTGCTCCATCTGGAAAGATATCTGCTAAGTTTGAATCCTTAGTCTTCCCATTCCCACCCTAGCAAATCAGAAAGTGAGAGAAAAACCTATTAAGTCTTCTAGTTTAACCCCGTCAGCTCAGCTAACGCTGGATTGTTCCCAGGGCTTTGTCAAGAACAGTGTTCAACGTCTCAAATGATGGGGAGTGGGTTTCCTCACTACCCTTAACGTTCTATTCCACTTGGGACTGAGCTTTCAAGCATTTAGACATGAGCAGGCCTTACGCAAACAAGCAGTGCTGCTGACTTCTATGAGACACGGTGAAGAATTATGAGAGAGAGAGAGAGAGAGAGAAAGAAATGTGGTGGGATCAGGCCCTAATAAATCCCAGAGTCAGGAAGCTTTCCATTATATTCACCGTACATTTTCCCTTTTCTCCATTTAATCCTAACTCTTAGGGTAGGTCTACACTAAAAAAAAAGGTGTTCTTAATCTGAGTGAAAATAGCCCTGAAGACATGGCAATTTAGGTTAGCAATTTGAGTTCAACCCTATGGTCCTCCATAGCCTTTACCTCTAGCTGCTAACCCAAGTTAAAAGACAAGTTACCAAGTCTTCACTGCTATTTAACCCCCGTAAGCTAACACAGGTTAGCCAACCGGAGTTAAGAACATACTTTTGTTTTGTTTTTTTGCAGTGTAGACATACCCTTTTAGTGCCCTACACCCTAAACCATTCCTCACCATCCCTAGAGCTGCAGTTTGAGTGAAGTTTTCCAGTAGTTATACTGTACTAAGAATAACTTTACATTTACATGGTACCTCTCATCCCAAAGTGCTTTTCAAACAAAAACCAATACACAAGGGATGAAATCCTCTCCAATTCAATTCAATGAGAATTCTGCTGAGCTACTTGCAGCAGGGGGAGGTTCCCAGAGATGGGTCTGACCCGGTCCCAGGAGCGGTCCCTGCAGGGGAAGAGGAAATCCCATCCCGCCCCAGCATCTGGAGACCAGCGTATGGTAAGAGGCTCCAGGCCTGTCCCTCCCCTACACTAGCCAGATTTCATGGGCGAGATCAGATTTCACAGTCCATGACACGTTTTTCACAGCCATGAATTTGGTAGGGCCATAAGTATAGGACAGGCATCTTTTTAAAAATAAGCCATCAAATTGAGACTGATTAGTAAGAGGGAAGAGTGTTACCTACTGAATATCCAACAGCACTTCCTTCCTCTGCACCTGAGTATTCCTCAGAAGAGTCCCACTGATGTATTGACCCATCCCACCTCTGCTTAGCTTGGGAGATAAGAAGGAATCACAGTACAAGGTGGGTATGGCTACAGGCATTTTGTAATAGGATGAATGAACATTTTGGGTACTTCTTGACAAGACTAGTCAAAACATGGCTCCATAAAACACATTGGGGACACGTTCTTACCATTTGCCTTCTTAAATAGTTCAACTGCATCTGGGTTCAGTGCTAGCAATTTCTGTGCAACTTCTATAAGTGAAACTAAGATCTTCCGGAGCTCTGTCTGGAACTGCAAGAAAGGAAACTGTCAAAACATTTAGATAGGAAGCTACCAATAGCCATCTTCACTTAATACATCTATTGTTAGAGTCTGTACGCTATGCCCTTGCCCCCTGTAGAGAAAGTTGCTTTATTATGGCTTTGCTTTCACTGTGTTTAGCCTATCAAAAAACTGTTGGCATGTTTCCCGTGGAGTGCTATATAGAGCAAGAATTGCCATGCAGGAAGGGTTGTTTATTTCTTCCATTGCTTTTAGTCCCACAAGAAAATGACACTAGCTCAGAAAGCTTATTTCTTACTGGAAACAGGGTCCCAGCCCTGTAAGGAGCTTTGTGTGGGCAGACAGAAGTCAGTGGGCCTCTGGTCAGATGCTGTGGAGTTCCTTTGAGGCCTGGGGACTCCGGTTTCTATAAAGGGATGAAAGACACTTGGCTAGTGTCATTTTCTTCCTACAACCAGCTTCTTCTGCGACTTGTCATACCGATGTGTCACGGCTTCCCTTCCTTCATCTGGAAATATTTTTAGTGTATCCCATATACAACAGGGCAAGTTGCTCACTAAACATGTTAAGTTTTCCAGGCTTCATTTTAATTAATAGTAAGTGCTAGGGACGTTTAACTTTTTTTTTAAGAAAATTTTTCAATATTTTATTTATTGACTATTTAACAGCATGTACTCTGCACATAGGGCTTTGCTACTTCATGCACATGGCAGTATCAAACCTGAAGAAGCAAATCACACTCTCTGTTGAACACACATTGAACACATACTCATAAGATCCTTCAGCATTTTGAAAGCTTCACAGTGCTGGGGCATTTTTAAACTTTGAAAATAGAGACAAGAGGAAAACTAGCTGCCTCAAACTCCACATATAATCAACATTTTTATGCAAACAAAATGCAGTCACATTTAATAAGCTATTTATAAATGGAACCTTAAATGATCAATAGATGTATTATGTTATTAACCCTTTAAGTATATGAGGTGTTATAAGCATATCAGCATGAGGCATTATAGATGGTTATAAGCAACCTACTGACCTTTTAGACTAACATTTGATTAACCCATTTATTAAGACTTCTATTAAGTATTCATTAATCCTTTACAAATGGAACCTTAATGTAACCCAGAATGCAGTAGAAACTTGGAATTAAAGTTTATTTTCTGCGGGGAACAGTTTATAATTACACTGGTCTTTTAATTAAGATCTTTATTAGAACCATGTAGGTAGCCACTAAGACAAAAGATCAGGTACATTTTTTTTTTTTAATTCCTTTGGTGAAAAACATGGAACAAAATGGGTAAATATTTTGTACAGGTATAGGGCAGTTTCACTATTATGACCATGTATGAGAGAATGCCCAAAAACCAGGGAATGAAGATCATACTTCTCTTTAAAAACAACAAACACCACATTCCTCGGCAGTATTTCCAACCAAACTTTGCACTGCTGTGCTAGTGCATTAGAATCTGAAAGTGCCTAGGCTTTATCATTCAGTGAGAAATGCAAGAAGTAAAACACAGCATAAACAGGGAAAACCTTAATTTGATTCTTAAAGTTCAGTTTTAAATTACCTATGCTACTGGTATATTAAGCACGTTTCCCCCTGCCCAATGTATTATTTTTAACCTGAGACATGGACCATACATTTTCACTTATTTCAAAAGAAATAAGCAATAGGCCCAAGTTTCAGTGAAGTCTTCAAGACAAGATGAACTAACCTATGGATGTGGCAGAGAAGGGTTAAATCAGGGAGGAAATCTAGATTTAGCATGTAAATTAAATGAGATAAAAAGCACCATACTTACATCCCTCATGTTGTGGTGGGCCACAGTGCGATCTACGTTGCGAGAGGGCAGATTTGCTGTTGCTTTGAGAATAGCATCCTTATCGGGAGCTTTCTGTTCCTGCTTCCTCTAACCAAGAAAAGGAAGCATGGTCAGATTTTGTAATTTGTTATCCACTGAAATACAGTAATAAAAATGATGCTATAGCCGACTGATTTCATATTCTCTTGTAGGCAAGCAAGTGATGTAAAGTAACTTGTGACTAAGGGAATTGACTAGAAGTGCAATTGGTTAATAGCACTAATACTTCGTAATCACAGGGCCAAATCAGACTTGCTGTGTCACATATTTTTCATAAAAATAAATCAGTTTTCCCACATTCTCCACAGGGCCACATAATGCTTTTCACTTAACTATCCCCATTTTGCAGACTGGGAAACTGAGGCACAGAGAGGCAGGAACTGACTCAAAGGTCACACAGTGGAAGGAAATAGAATCCAGGAGTCTCCATTCCCAGTCCCATGCTCTAACCACTATGATACGTTTGTGACATTATCGGATTAAAACATGACCCTATAGATCATTGTTGCAACCACTGTTATATATTTGCAGAAAATCTTGTACAAAGGTTATCAAGTGAGGTGTCTATGAAAAGTTTATGATTTGCTGGTTATGGTTACGCTATCTGTCTGCATTTTTGTATTTGAAGTTATAAGTATTGTCTCTATACTTGGATTTCAAGTGTTTGCTCCTGGGGTAACGCCCACAAGGTAGCTAGCCAGCACATATTGGAGGGACTATTCAAATTGAGTGGCCCATCAAAAGAATATTTAATTGACAATGGACCATGGGAGACGACCATCTACATTTAATGCAATTTCCTGCTGTGACTAGGCGAAATGCACGGACATGGAACTTGCTCATGTGACTCCAAACTCCATCTTGTTGCTATAATTTTCCACAGTAAGAACAATGGGATGCCCTCCACATGGCAAAAGCTATAAAAGGCCCTGGAAACACCTCCATTTGGTCTTCAATCCTGCTTCTTACCTCTGGAGCAACTTTGCTATAAACTGAAGCTCTGAACAAAGGACTGAGTGACCCATCCAAGCTGTAGATATATTCCAGAGACTTGACTTAAGCCAGCCGTTTATTCCATCACTGCTACAAGCCTGAACCAAGAACTTTGCAATTACTGTATGTATTTGATTATTTTAACCAATTTTAACTCTCACCTTTCTTTCTTTCTATTTATAAATAAACCTTTAGATTTTTAATTCTAAGGGATTGGCATCAGCATAATTTTTGGGCAAGATCTAAGCTATACATTGACCTGGGTGTGTGTCTGGTCATCTGGGATCAGAAGAACCTTTCATTTGATGAGACTGGTTGTAAAGAACCACTCTGAATCCAATATTTTTGGTGGTGATACAAGAATTGGAATGCCCAAGGAAACTGCTTTTAGGACTTCTTGTTAATCAGTGTGGTGAAACAGGAGTTTACTTTTGTGGCTGGTTTGGTATAGTTTATGAAAGAATCACCACCAGATTTGGGTTATATTTGCCCTATTTCTCAGCACTTTGTTCTGAATTTGGCATCCTCAGCTGTGGCCCAGTGAGCCACAGTTACAGTGGCGTAGTTGGCAGAATAGGCTAACTCAGTGGCATCCCAGCACCTCAGGTGACACCCCAAAGGGCCCAAACCCGTCACAATGTTCCTTCCATGTAGGGCACTCTCTTCAAACGTATCTGTCCTCTGTTCAAAATTAGTAGGGAGATGTGAGTTGTGTGAACACCTTATGTGCCATTTAATACTGAAAGCGCTGCATTGTTTGTAAATACAGTGCCGGGAAATACAGTGCCCTAGACTAGCTCCAAATTTTCAACATACAGTCCAAAAATGGAAGGCTTGAAGTCCAAAGACAGATGCACAGAGGACAGTGTGAGGAAGGGGGTGTGACACGCAGCACAGCAAGACCCCAGAGGGGCAGTGCACAGGGAAATAGAGCTACCTACAGGAAGCAAATGGCAGAAGAGAAAAACAGGTTTGCACATACAAGCAGACCTCCAGCAATTCACAAGGACAAGCAAAGGCACAGCTCAGTACATCTGCAGATGATGGCAGCTACAGCACCACCTGGGCAGAAATGTCCTTTTGGAGAACGTGGACCCACTGTAATAACAATTACACCCCGAGGGGGAAAAAAAGCAACCCACTGTTATCCCAGTTGGAGATAAAGTTGAAGTTCTAGCAGGGCCAATGCTTGTGCCCCAGAGTATGTCTACACTGGAGCTGGGAGCCAGCCCTCCAGCTCCAGCCAACAGACTTGTGCTAGTGGTGCTTGCTCTAATGTGCTAAAAATAGCTGTGTGGATTCTACCCCCTGGATCTGAGCTCCCTGCTGGTGCTGCAACATCCCCACAGCTATTTTGGCTCGCTCCCAGCTCCAGTGTAGACAAACTCCTAGAGACCTGGTTACAGGGCCAGAGACCAGGTGTAGCTAAAGACAAATTAGAGCAGCTAGACACAACTTTCTAAAGGGCAGATCTATCTGAGGGTACAACCTAAAATAATAGATTTATTCTGTTATTAGACATTCAAAGATCAACCTTACAGCATTTCCACAGAGCGTATCTATCCTGTTTGAGGCAAACATTACTGTTAATTTACAGTTCTAATGCTTATGGTGTTCTCTGGGAAGTTTCAAAGGAACATGAATCCTCCTGAAATTAATGTATTTAATCTTTAATTAAATGGATGCATTTGCCTCCATAAATACATAGTGAACACCCACAGCTACACTTTTCCAAGTTGTTAATAAAAGGGGGGAAATGCAGACTAGAAAAAACCTACAAATCTTCTGAACTTACTTTTTCCTCTGCTGAGACTTCTGCCATTTTGGGAGGCGGAGGGGGAGCTCGCTTCTTTACCAATAACAAGACATCTAGAAAGAGAAGATACTGGAATATGTTAGAAGTAACATGCAATGGGCTATGGTCAGGCAATTTAGAACGAAAAATTTATGAACTGTAAAATGAAGGATGTCAGTTTGGGGCTAATTGCTCCTGTATTCCCCCTGCATGGTCCCTCGAGGACACCCACTGAGAGCTTCCAGCTCCCAGATGCACCTCTCTTAAGTGGAGACCTGTATTTCTCTCCCTGCCGACTGGGGTTTTAAAGCTGCATAGCACCCCCCACCATCCACTGTGATGACCCTGCAAGCCAGTTTGCCTGACAGACTTTGCCAGCAGCCCCTGTGCGTTGCTCTCTCCCCCCGAGGGCCATGAACAGCATAATGCCAGCAGTTACAAGGTACTGCTCAGCTCTTTCTGAGCTAGCACCTTTATTCTTGAGGTAAAAGCATTACAGAGTAAACAACAACAACAAAAACAATGAAATTTCCTATATGCATGCAAAAAGCTTACCAGAGGTCACCCATCAGTCTTATGGGGCCAAAATCTTCCCAACCCTTCCACGAGGGTTGGGGCCCTTGGACAGAAGGTCCTGTCCATTTGCTGGATCAGAAAGAAGGCCCGAGTCAGTTTAAACGCAGCTTTTTTATGCCCCAAACCCTTTCTTTGGGGGTCTCTGGAAAATCCACTTTGCACCAGTATGTACCAGCCGTCCCAGAGGGTGGCACCTCTCCAAAGGGGTTTCACCTAAGTCACCCCTTACTGTGTTTGGTTCCTGGAGGAGCTGTGACAACCCTCCCCACTGGAGTTGCATACAATCCCTGTCCCACAGTGATAAATACAATACAGTCCCCAGAGAGATTGCATGTGGTTGCAACATCGGTCACATTAGAAATTGTAAAATGAAGATTTTAATAGAAATGGGGTTTTGTTTGCATTCTTTGCACAGTTTCAGGGATTTTCCAGATTTAACCGTTTTTAGATAGAAACGGTCCCCTTCTCTGTTTGCAACTCATGCACTCCAGCATTATGCTAGTGCAAGCAATCCAATTGCTGCATCTCTATATTAGGGCATAAAAGTCAAAAAATTAAACTGACAATTAAATCACTGGACAAAGTTAAGCTGACTGGTCTATGGGTCAGGTGGAGTGACGTACAAAGAGTAAATAAAATGCTGAAAAGTTAGATTTGAACAATCCTTTCAGTTGTAATCATCTGAGATATCGCTGGGAAATGGCTTATTTTAATATGTGCAGTTAAAAAGTCAGACCTTTGCAGCCAAACTCTGACATCAGTTAAACAACAGTTTTATCCTGGATTTACAGTTCTAATCGAATTCAGAACATGGTTCATCATTAGTTACATTTCATCTACATGTTAAACCCGCTTATTCCTAGTTTTGCTCCCCGCCTCCCCCAGGAAAGGAGCTCCTTGTGGCCCCAACTCCCCTAAAATGGATTGTGCTGTTTGCAAAAGTGACAACAACTGCTCCACCACAAGAATCCAATAGCAATGAGTTCCCTGCCAAACCAGAGGCTGGAAAGAAAACCTAGAGCCAAACCACCTATGGTGTTCTCTACCCTGGGGATTTGCCCTAATTATAGCTATGAGTAGCCAGCCACCTGTACAGCTGCACCAGTGCAAATCCCTAGTCCATGCATGTAAAGCCACTACCTGCAGCGGTGAAGCTTACCCCTACTTGAGGTGCAAATGGCAGCTTAGAGCAGCTCGCTCTGCTTAGACTAGGTGACTGCCCACCAATGGCTATAACTGGAGCAAATCTTCTGGACAGATAAAGGTAAATCTGAAAGATCTCGGGTCACATCGCATGCTTTCCCTTTAGGCTTTTCATACGAATATTTTGCACTTACAAAAAGAACCTCTCTTCCAAATCTTCTTCTTTAAATCCGTTGGCTTAATTAAGTCTCCAGTACCCCTGTGATGTAGGTCATTAATATATCAATTTACAGGAAGGGGAGCTGAGGAGACAGGCATGTTGAGGCCTAAATTAATGGGAGTTTCTGAAAATGTATGTGCCCAATATGAAAAGAACCCAGTTACCTGACTACTCTAACCTTTAGACCTGCCTTTGTCTCACATTAAGCCTTTTTGCATTTTAATTCTACAGGCTAAACACACACCTGGAGCAATTCCACTATAACCAGCGGAGTTATACTAGGTATCCATTCTGATCTACACCTGCAAAGCACACCGTAAGCCTACAGCGCTATAAAACTGAGACGCTGAAATAAAAACTTCAGAAAGCAACATAACCCCACTATTTGACTTGGAGTGATCCGATAAAGGTGGTTTCTTTATTTTTTTTAAAAATCTATTACTTTTATTTACTTATAGCCAAATATTAGGGTTGTCGATTAATCGCAGTTAACTCACGCAATTAATTTTTTTAATCGTGATTAATTTTTTGGAGTTAATCGCAGTTTTAATCGCACTGTTAAATGATAGAATACCAATTGAAATTTATTAAATATTTTGAATGTTTTTCTACATTTTCATATATATTGTATTCTGGGTTGTAACTGAAATCAAAGTGTATATTATTTTTTATTACAAATATTTGCACTGTAAAAATGATAAAGAAATAGTATTTTTCAGTTCAACTCATACAAATGATGTAGTGCAATCTCTGTTGTGGAAGGGCAACTTACAAATGTAGGTTTTTTTGTTACATAACTACATTCAAAAGCAAAACAATGTAAAACTTCAGCGCTTACAAGTCCACTCAGTCCTATTTCTTGTTCAACCAATCGCTCAGACAAACAAGTTTGTTTACATTTACAGGATATAATACTGCCCTCTTCTGATTTACAATGTCACCAGAAAGTGAGAACAAGCATTTGCATGGCACTTTTGTAGCCGGCATTTCAAGATATTTGCGTACCAGATATGCTAAACATTCGTATGCCCCTTCATGCTTCAGCCACCATTCCACAGGACATGCTTCCATGCCGACGATGCTCGATAAAAGAATAATGCGTTAATTAAATTTGATACAATTTTCCCCCAAGGTGTTCAGTATGTCCCCTGCTCTGTGTTTTACCCGCATTCTGCCATATATTTCATGTTATAGCAGTCTAAGATGACGACCCAGCACATGTTGTTCGTTTTAAGAACACTTTCACTGCAGATTTGACAAAACGCAAAGAAGGTACCAATGTGAGATTTCTAAACATAGCAACAGCACTCAACCCAAGGTTTAAGAATCTGAAGTGCCTTCTAAAATCTGAGAGGGATGAGGTGTGAAGCATGTTTTCAGAAGTTTTAAAAGAGCAACACTCTCATGCGGAAACTACAGAACCTAAACCACCAAAAAGAAAATCAACCTTCTGCTGGGGGCATCTGACTCAGATAATGAAAATGAATGTGCATCAGTCCGCACTGCTTGGGATTGTTATCAAGCAGAACCCATCATCACCATGGACGTATGTCTCCTGGAATGGCGGTTGAAGCATGAAGGGACACATGACTCATCTGGCACGTAAATATCTTGCGATACCAGCTACAACAGTGCCATGTGAACGCCTGTTCTCACTTTCAGGTGACATTGTAAACAAGAAGTGGGCAGCATTATCTCTTGCAAATGTAAACAAACTTGTTTGTCTGAGTGATTGGCTGAAGTAGGACTGAGTGGACTCGCAGGCTCAAAAATTTTAGATTGTTTTATTTTTGAGTGCAGGTTCTTTTGTACATAATTCTACATTTGTAAGTTCAACTTTCGTGATAAAGCAATTGCACTACAGTACTTGTATTAGGTGAACTGAAAAATACTATTTCTTTTGTTTTTTTACAGTGCAAATACTTGTAATCAAAAATAAATATAAAGCAAGCACTGTACACCTTGTATTCTGTGTTGTAATTGAAATCAATATATTTGAAAATGTAGAAAACATCCAAAAATATTTTTAAAATTGGTATTCTATTATTGTTTAACAGCGCGATCAAACAAAATTAATTTTTTTAATCGCTTTACAGCCCTACCAAATATCCAAAAGCCAATTCAAAATAAAAGTATGAATGGGGTGGTATTCATAATGGTCTAATTTGTGTTTACCATCCTCAAACACAATTGCAAAGGGTAAATGTTGTGCATTGTTTGAATCTATTAGACTTATCTGATTACAACTCTAGTTCCTTTTTTTGTCTGTCTTAAAACAAATTTACAAAATAAAAAAATCATTTAATCTACTGGCTCAACTACTGTATATAATTCATGTTTTTATTTCTTAAAAAAAAAACAATGTTGCAGCAAGCAACAAAAACATATATGATAGTCTAAACACATTCTATTTCCTGTACCTTTTAGCCATTTTATCAGCGCCCTTGTCTCAGAACCCAGAATAGGCATTAAGGTCAGAACTTGGCATGCACCTCACAATTAAATACAGTCTCATGTTACTAGGCTTACAGGCTAGGATTGCATGAATGAGGTTCAATCATAGAGCTCTCCTACCTTTATCTTGAATATTTTCCTCCAAGACTGTTTTTGTATCTGTCAGCACCTTCTCTGAAGTAGCATGGATCAATTTATGATGCGTTATGCTTTTTGGATCCTCTAAGCTCCCAGGTACACACTAGAGAAAATGATAAATACTAAGCATCAGAGAACAGGAATAATAAGCCTACTGCATGAATCACTGTACCTCGTATTGAAGGGAGTTTCCACATTTGAACTGTGCCAGCATTTACCAGTCTCTTCATAGCTTAAGTAATAGGACAGTGGATCTCAAACTTGTGTCCTGGTGACCCCTTTCACATAGCAAGCCTCTGAGTGTGACCCCCCCACTTATAAATTAAAAACACATTTTTATATATTTAACACCATTATAAATGCTGGCAGCAAAGCGGGGTTTGGGGTGGAGGCTGACAGTTTGCGACTCCCCGTGTAATAACCTCCCGACCTCCTGAGGGGTCCTGACCCCCAGTTTGAGAACCCCTGTAGTAGGACAATATGCCAGAGGCTAATGCACTGAGTAGAATGTGCACTAAAGAAACGGAGATTTGAGTCATGGTGTAACACAGTACTCACTGTGGTAGTGAACAAGCAAATGGGTTTTTTTCCTACATAGCCAAGTGCCCTGGCTGTGAGGGGAAAACATCCAAAAGGAGGATTTCAGATCTATCATAGTGATGCTTTTAAAATTAAAAGCTGGAAAAAAGCAATATCTAGGTTCCTGCTGCCTGACTGATGCTCTAAACAATTTTTTGAAACAGCTAACTTCAAAGACCAAACCCTGCAGCCCTTTCACATATGAATGGTCCTTTGGAAGTCAGTAGGCTACTCATGTAATAGCTACAGGAGCAGGCTTCAAAAAACTGAAAGAGAAATGTCAGGTAGAAATATTTGGTAAGATATAATATGTTATTATGAGAATTTATTTAATCCGGTGATCTGGAAAACATGACAATGAGAGACCATTAATTTAACATTATCAGAGAGGGTTAATTTTGTTCCTCTCTCCTTAAAAAGTGACAAATTAGTCCAAAAACCCTTAAGACTTTTCATATGAAAAATATAAGGCCAATGCTGAAATACTGCTTGAAAGTGGTAGGCTTCTCAACTGGAATTGTTAGCATTTGATTATCAGCCACTGCCTCCCTAATGTGCATACTCAGAGCTTCTACGGATTTTTTAAAAAATATGTACTGCTGAGAAATATAGGTTTGAGCCGTAAATAATGTCCTATGTTCATTTCAGTCTGAGCACCCCCGGAGCAGTCACGGTTCAAGAGCAAACTTCTCTCTCTCTCTCTCGGTTACTTTACTACTGAAAATTCTTCCGCTCTATTCCACGCTGAGTAGGTCGCAACTGGAGCATTGTGTCCAGTTCTGGGCGCCACATTTCAGGAAGGATGTGGACAAATTGGAGAAAGTCCAGAGACGAGGAACAAAAATAAAGATCTAGAAAACATGACTTATCAGAGAAGATTGAAAAAACTGGGTTTGTTTAGTCTGAAGAAGAGAAAACAGAGGGGATGTGATTACAGTTTTCAAGTACGTAAAAGGTTGCTACAAGGAAGAAGGAGAAAAATTGATCTCCTTAACCTCTGAGGATAGGACAAGAAGCAATGGGCTTAAATTGCAGCAAAGGGAGGTTTAGGTTGGACATTAGTAAAAACCGCCTGTCAGGATGTTAAGCACTGGAATAAATTGCCCAGGGAGGTTGTGGAATCTTCATCATTGGAGATTTTTAAGAGCAAGTTAGACAAACACCTGTCAGGGATAGTCTAGATAATACTTAATCCTGCCATGAGTGCAGGGGACTGAACTAGATGACCTCTCGAGGTCCCTTCCAGTCCTACGATTCTATGGGTTGGGGCGATGCAGATGGTTTGCAATTTTCTATCACTAATAAAAGCAAACATTTCCTAATTCCACAGCTAGAAAGGGTTTGCTAAGAAAATTGCTTTAAAGCCGAACCAACAATTTCACTTTAGTAGATGACATTTTTGAGCAGCTCCTTCAGTAGAAGTTAATGAAGATCTGCATTCAGTGAGCCAGTTTCTGATCTCAAGTACATCAGTAAAACACCACGTAGACTGGATTTACACTGCTGTAAGAGCAGATTCTATCACACTGCTCAGGGGTGAAATCTATACAGGGCCAATATACAGGGCCAATATACAGACAAAAGGGAGACTTGGGGGAAAGACTGACAGCTCAGATAGTAGCAATTAGGCCTTCAAGTTAAAAGGCTGAAGAAAACGAACACTGAGCTTTTAAAACATTCTTGCAATACTGAAGGCTGCAATGCCGCTAGCAGGTGTCTCCTTCACAAAGAGTGTTAAATGCACAAGCCTTCTGCCTAATCTAGCAATCACTGTTTGCTCACACACTATCATATGTAGTGATACTTTGCACCTCTATTGCACCTGTCAGAGGATCTCACAGCACTTGCAAACACCAAGCACCACAAGAACTCCTTGCTGTACAGAAGAACACACAAATATAGAAAGAATTTCTGTGTCTTGCCCCAGGTCCCTCAATGGAATCAATACCAGAGCTAGCCTCTAGACTCCCTTTTGGCTGTAAACCACTAGACTGAACAGTGTTTTCTGTAGCTTTTCTTCTTGATCTGAGAAATATTCACAGTACGTCTAATTTTTCCTCCTAGTATCCTATGTCTAGAAATGCACCAACTGTTAAAAACAGAAGTAGGGTACTGGATCATTTGAAGATATTTTTGCAGCATATGTCACTGCGTTCTCATTACGAAACCGGAAACTCAAAACCCCTGGGCTTGCCGTAGAAATGCTGTCAGAAGTTAGATTATAACAGTGCCCAGCAATGCCAGCGTACTTACAAAGCCTGACACAAAACCAGGGATTCTCCTCTATCTCGGAAAAAAATCTGATCGGATTAAGGAAAACCGTTCCCTAGCACCCAGTATGTAAGTTAAGACTGTGCATCAGGCCCACCGCAGGTGTAAATTGGCAAAATTCCATTGAAGTCAATGGAGCTCTCCAGATCTACACCAGCTGAGGATCTGGCCCTTTTTGTCCAGGTATCAAAGACTGCACAGGATTAAGCTTTTGGTAAACTCAGCAAATGTAAGCATCTAGCCTCTGAATGTATGTAGCCCAGTGAAGCTTTAGAAAGGAGCTTGGCGTTTTACCCTGCTTGGCTATTTTAGCATTGCGACACAAAATACGAATCCATCCACAGCTTCAACTGGCTCATCTTCACGCGAGAACAGTTCAGTGACCCAGAGTGACAGACTCCCAGAATAACATTACATCAGTGCATCTAGAGGCTTCTCATTTGTTCCAGGGGAAACAGGGAATGTAACAGTTGAACTGTTGGAAAGGGAGAAACTAAAATCACTGAAGCCACAAGATTGATAAAGTCGCTCATCTCACCCAGGCAACTCACTGAGGCCAAGCAAAACATTTAATAACCACAATCTTGCTCACAAAAATGAAAACAGAGCTTTCTGAATGAGATTCTTATCTAAGCATTTTTACTCTGTTCTCTGCAAGTGTCTTTCCCTTCTAAAAGAAGGTATTTACCATTGACTTCAATGGGTTCTTTGGTACTTTGTAAACATTAGTATTAATCTAACTCAGGGTTTTCAGAGTGCTTTTAGAATCCATGATCTCGCCACCTGCCCTGCAGTCAGTGTGGTCATTAGAGAGCTCAACTGTTTGTTCCTTTACTTATACTTGTAAAATTATAGTAAACATGTAAACTATAGTTTGTAACCTGTCCTTTAAATCAGCTTCTGTACCCAATGACTGGAAGATAGCTACTGTAACGCCAGTATTTAAAAAGGGCTCTAGAGATGATCTAACATCAGTACCGGGCAAATTAGTTGAAACAATAGTAAAGAATAAAATAGACACATAGAAGAACATCAATTGTTGGGCAAAAGTCTATGTGGTTTCTGTAAAGGGAAATCATGTCTTACTAATCGATTAGAGTTCTTCGAAGGGGTCAACAAACATGTGGACAAGGGGGATCCAGTGGACATAGTGTACTTAGATTTCCAGAAAGCCTTTGACAAGGTCCCTCACCAAAGGCTCTTACGTAAATTAAATTGTCATGGGATAAGAGGAAAGATCCTTTCATGGACTGAGAACTGATTAAAAGACAGGGAACAAAGGGTAGGAATAAATGGTAAATTTTCAGAATGGAGAGGGGTAACTAGTGGTGTTCCCCAAGGGTCAGTCCTCGGACCAAACCTATTCAACTTATTCATGAGTGATCTGGAGAAAGGGGTAAACAGTGAGGTGGCAAAGTTTGCAGACGATACTAAACTGCTCAAGAAAGTTAAGACCAAAGCAGACTGTGAAGAACTTCAAAAAGATCTCACAAAACTAAGTGACTTGGAAAAACACATTGGAAAAAATAACTCCAACTATACATACAACTAATTGCTATTTTAGCTACAACTAATCAGGAAAGAGATCTTGGAGTCATCATGGATAGTTCTCTGAAGACGTCCACGCAGTGTGCAGCGGCAGTCAAAAAAGCAAACAGGATGTTAAGAATCATTATAAAAGGGATCGAGAATAAGACGGAGAATATCTTATTGCCTTTATATAAATCCATGGTATGCCCACATCTTGAATACTGCGTACAGATGTGGTCTCATCTCAAAAAAGATATACTGGCATTAGAAAAAGTTCAGAGAAGGGCAACTAAAATGATTAGGGGTTTGGAAGAAGCTAGGACTTTTCAGATTGGAAAAGAGGAGACGAAGGAGGGATATGATAGAGGTATATAAAATCATGAGTGGTGTGGAGAAAGTGAAGAAGGAAAAGTTATTTACTTGTTCCCATAATATAAGAACTAGGGGCCGCCACCAAATGAAATTAATGGGCAACAGGTTTAAAACAAATAAAAGGAAGTTCTTCTTCACAAAGCGCACAGTCAACTTGTGGAACTCCTTGCCTGAGGAGGTTGTGAAGGCTAGGACTATAACAGGGTTTAAAAGAGAACTGGATAAATTCATGGAGGTTAAGTTCATTAATAGCTATTAGCCAGGATGGATAAGGAATGGTGTCCCTAGCCTCTGTTTGTCAGAGGGTGGAGATGGATGGCAGGAGAGAGATCACTTGATCATTACCTGTTAGGTTAACTCCCACTGGGGCACCTGACATTGGCCACGGTCGGCAGACAGGATACTGGGCTGGATGGACCTTTGGTGTGACCTTGCATGGCCGTTATGTTCTTCTTATACATCAAAATGCACCAGTTTTATCACAAGTCTTCAGCTCCTGATTTAAATTATTTCTGAACACCTCTAACACATCAACAGGGCTGCAGTGAGATTGTTTTAGCTCTGCTTTGCATACCAGTGACTTACAACTAGTCCTTCAGCATGTTAACTGCTGATCTAAAGCCAAAGACTGCATTAGAATCTAGGATCAATCAGAAGCTCCTAAAATTGATCTAACGAGGTATCCAAAATGCACGAGAAGAGACCATCAGTGATTCGTTTGATCTCTGAACACCATAGGGATGCTACTTTTACAAATCCTTGGATTAAGACTCTTCTGTGAAAGAATATGGGGCTGATAACTCTAGGAGAGATAGCTTAGATTAAACTACAGAGCTTTGCAACTATTGGTATCATATTGGCGTCTTGCTAGGAATCCAAGGGCTGCAGTTAATCTTTAATTTTTTGTTTAGAGTATGCAAAATTGTGGGCACGCAACCTTAATATTTGCTTGCATTGCTATTTTCCTTGGTAGACAAGAAGATATTGCTGAGAGTTTGTGTGTTTTTTACTTTCAACAAATTTTTGTTTGAAATTCTGTTGCTGTAACTAGAAAAGCAAAACAACAGTGTGTGGGTTGTTAAAATTTGCACTACACACCTACAATCTGACTCCAGGGCCATCTGGTTGCAGCGTGCCATTGTCTCTTCCTATCACGCCACCGAACATATGGTGGACAAAGACTGAACATCCAGCCAGACCACCTTAAGGATTTAGCTAGAGACTGATCTGGGAGGAGCTTGACCTGCAAGTAGGCTACAACTCTTTGGGAATCCGTCACAATGATGAAGATATTGTTCACCTCTTCAAAATGACAAATCCCCCATGTTAGACTCGTGTACCCTACTCTTTGCTTAACATCTGCTCATAGGAATTATTCCAAAATGTCTGCACCAATTATAGTGTCATTTCCTGAACTGCCAACTTACCAACTGCTCAAGTGCAATGTAATTATGCCCACTTGTGTGTGGTTGAACAGACCTTTCAAAAAATCTCTTTAAATACTGCCAATTTCAAAACCAGAACTGGGCAAATTTGGGTCCTCATCTTGCAAGATGATGTGTGTAGGTAGACCATGGCACCGAGACCCCACTGAAGTTTGAGGGGCTCCACACAAGGGCAGGCATCTTCCCACACAGAGCAGCTTGCTGGAGTAGGGCCTTGGTTCACAGATAACTGGGGGGAAATGTTTCTCTTTTGTTGGCACAAACACTTGCAACAGAAACCCCTCCAAGAGAAAAGATAATTAGGGATAAAGAGCTGAGTGCAGAATTAGTTAGGAAAAGACATCAGGATACTTAATGACAACTTTGGAGCTCTGTGACCTTTTGGAAGCTACCGGAGGGGAAAAGGGGGGAGAAATGGAATGCCTCCTTTCCTTATTCAAAGTAGGACTACATAATGAATGTTACTTTCTACTACTCACAGCAATAGTGCTTGCAGGGGCTTTGGGGAACAGATTAATTAGCATCACATTAGAGGTGGCTGCATCAGTTATCTGAAGGTGCTACCAAGATTCATTACAATATGCTTGTGATCACTAGACAAGATTTTTCCATTTCCATTTTTCCTCTTCATAAGGTTATATATTATCCATAATGGTTATGCAAATCCACACCATTACCACTAAGAAGCAGACAGAATGAGATGAAACACCACTGCCTAGTTATCAATTGTCTTCTGCCCCGACTCACATTACCTATAAGCACTTCTTCAATTAGGCTTCCTGAAAATTAAAGGTCTTTCAGATCTGCACTTACACATGCAATCATTGTGCTCCTCTGCTTGGCAATCCTCACACCACTCTTGTACTTCATCACTCAGTTGGGCTGAATAAGGATAGCAACATGAGAATTCTCCATGAGCTCTGCAGGATGTGGTAGTTCCACACCTATTCTAGAATGCAGAGGCACCCTAATTTTCCCAACCAAAGGTTGCACTGGTACCTTACCAAGGGCTACACCCACCCTGGATAAAATGAAGCTGTTCTCCAAATACAGAGACTACAGGTCCTAGCATGCTATGAGCTGAGCAGATGACCCTTTGCATCAAGTTGGAATATGCATGCTGAGACCTGTAGCTTCCAGGGGTTCCATATTTTAAAATAAAATAGTGAGGGGGCGCTTTATAAAATTTCTGTGTACTACATTTAGCTCATTGGCCACTCTTACTGGAATGGAATTACGACACATCTAAGAGACAAAACCCTTTACTTAAAGTTATGTAAGCAATATAAAGTGTAAACATAATTATAGAATTCTGGTATAACTGCTTGCTCTCATATCGTGTGTGTATATATATATTATTATTAAGAGACACAAAGCTTCACATTTCTATAACATTTTGAAGAGGAGAAGTGCTTTGCAAGCTAATATCCTTTACTCCTATGAGAAACAGGCAAGGACTTACTCCCTCCCCCTCCGCCCCATTTTCAGTTACACAGCCATTTAGTGTCAGAGTCAAGGTTAGAACTCAGGAGTTCCTGGCTCAGACAACTTGAACATGCTGTCTTGGCCCAGGAATTGCAGCTTCTGGGGCAAACCATGGTAACTCTCTCACGTACTGAGATCCTATAGGTTACTATAAAAAAAACGAGGAGTCCTTGTGGCACCTTAGAGACTAACAAATTTAGTTAGTCTCTAAGGTGCCACAAGGACTCCTCGGTTTTTTTTGCTGATACAGACTAACACGACTACCACTGAAACCTATAGGTTACTGTATTTGTCACATTTTACTGAAAAATAGACCAGTCATTACAAGCTTAGAATTTCAGTCCAATAGACCCACCAACAAATTGACCCATTTACTTGATGAACAACGGACCCAGACCCTGTCACCAACAAGACATGCATGGTAAATAAGCAAACCAGAATGAAGAAACCCTCTGTTTCAGCCAAATTTCATTCAATGGCACCTTTACATATTCTCTCTTCAGTGCAATCAGTTTCCTAAAGGGCAAAGGACTGTGAGACGTGTGAAAGTCTTAATGGATTGAAGGCAAGGAGAACATGAAACCCACAACATTACTGCACCAATTAAGCAGTAGTGATGTAGTAGGTAGTACTCTTCTGACAAAGTAGTACCCCACTGTCAACTTCAAAGAACTTGTAGTTATTACCCCTGTTCTTTATGTTTGTTCTGAAAATACAGAAAACCAAGGAACAAATATTGCAGTTGCTTGTAGGGAATCATCCAAAACCACTTCGGCAATTTCTCACAAGGTGTATCTGCCAACCCATACAATATTGTGAGTATAAGAGCTAGAAATATGTAATCTAAGGGTCCCATGAATCCTAACTCCTGTAGTTAAAGGTAGCGGAGCAATTCCCATATTAACCCCATTCTCCCCGCCCTCCATGAACTCATAACTTTCTGAAGCAGGTGTTCATCTCATAGGCTGAAACGCACCATGCCTCAATTTTGGGGGGACAATTACAAACATAGCAAGGAGGGAGCCGGAATGGAAAACAACTCTCTATATACAGGACATGGGGAGGAGGGACATACAAAATCTGAAATATTTACTACCAACGGCAATATTTACCTGGGCCAGCAGGCTCAGAGGTCAAATAGTGTATGAAGCCTCAAGATTTTAATGGCCCCCCCTAGGCACGTACTTATTACAAGCCCCGCACCACCACCAAGGACGTGCAACAATTAACTGCAGTCAAAGTATATTTAATGCAGGACCCCTCCCCCCCCCTAAACTACAGTCAAGGGAGCTTCTCTTTTTTGGGGTGGGGAAAGAGGCAGAGGGCACTATGAGCCCCGCCCCCCCGGCTGGCTACAGACAGTGGGGGTGGAGGGTACTGAAGCTCCCCGCCCCCGGGCACACTCGGGGCCTATTGCCAATGCTCTGCAGACCCCCC